TGCCGCACACATGGTCTGGAGGGTGGAGTCCCACTCAACTCAAGATGCAGTTTGGACTCTCTTCCTCTTCCCCTCAGTTCCAAGGGAGGGAGAGCTGGGTCTTTGGAGGGTCTTCAAAATCCTGGAGTGGGGTTGAGGCCAGGAGGGGCCAAAGTTGGCACCAGTTATTTTTCCCAGGACCCTACCTTTGCACTCTTGGGGCCACTGTTCAGAGAAGGTGGTGGGGAAGGGGAGGAGAAAGAAGAGACCCACTCCCCAGCTGCCCCTCTGTCCTGCCTGAGTTATGCCTTCCTCCGAACAGTGTAGCCCCACCCCACCTGTTTAACTCATCCCCAATAAGCGGTCCACTCTCCCCTCCACATGCACCTACCAGACCAAATGCCTTCTCCTCTCCTCTTGGGCGAATCCCTCCTATACTTGACTCTCACACAGCTCTCCCCCTCCAGAAGACCCTGGCCACCAAGATCCTCCCTTGTACTTGATGGTAATCGTACTATGGAAGGAGAGATTCTGTGATCCCTTCAATACGTTTGGGAAAATTGGGCTTCTATATTCAGGACTTCTCAGAACCTTTGGTGTCACAAGACTTGGAAGGACGGAGAACATCCTTGCGGAGCATCCTGACGCCTGCCTCAACTCACAGCGCGGACACCCCGTCCTCAGCACAGGCTTCGGCCAGCCTCCCTGGGCCCACTCGGTCCAATGCTCCTGCTTTTTCTTCTTCAATTTCCATACCCTGCTCTCTGCTCAAGACCCTTCTATGCCTCTTTCTCTGGTATGTCTTCCTGTCATTTCTAGAGATGGCTTCTTCCTAAACGCCTGTGCTTAGAAGCTGCCACTGTCCAGCTCCTACTTAGTCTCCAACTTATTTTTCCAAAGCTCCATTACCTTGGCCTAGGTGACCCAGCAAAGCGGCTTAAGGACAGGGCTCCTGCTACGTACTCTCTGGAATGCCTCTGGCTCACTGAGCACCCCAGATGACTCTCTCAACATGGCTGATTAAACTGAATGGAAATAGGATCAGCCTTCTGACAACTTCTCAGCTTAATTGCTCTTATACCATCAACAACAGGTTTGTCTACAAGCACTTCCAACAGAATTGGAAAGAAACAAGAAAGTAATTCTAACGATAGATGTTAATGAAACTAGAATTAACTTTTCTTTCTTTTACTAATCTAGATGTTTTAACAGTAGCAAGACATATATACATAACATACACATATAGAAATATATATGTATTTCTGTATATACATACATATACCTACATATAATACACACAGATAGATCTCAAATGTGCCCTAAGTCCAGTTAGTTATAGAGAGATGGAGACATCTGACAGAGACTAGAACTTTCCTTTACAACATGTACCCTTTACCATTGCCTCCCCGACACACACACATACACACACACTTGCCAAGGACTGATATGAGTGTTATTCTACAATTCTACCCCTTCAAAGGTCAGTTCAGGTCCTTGGACACCAGTCAACATGTTTCTAGGCTGCTTCTAGGCCTGGCCCTTCAAGGGCCACCTTCAATGCACCCAGGCCACCCTACCTCCCTGCCCAACCAGTCTGGTCACCTGGCTTTCCCTGAATGCCCCCTTGCCCCGTCAGTCCTCTCCCTGCACATGCTTCCATGAAATCACAGCCCACACACTTGAGTGGCTGGCCCAAATGCTTTCCTCATCCCAACTTAGGGACCACATGAGATTTTTTTCTCCTCCCCAGATTCCTCTAATGGGATCTCATCTGGCCCATTAGGGTGTGCGTGTTTGTGTGTGTGCACAAGCGCATGTGTTTGTGGTAGGGAAGTGGGGGGAGGAAGGATGGGGAGGAGGGAGGTGAGTCGGGGAGGAGGGATGGAATCAATTTGCACTGAATGTCCTTAGTGGACAGGGGAGCAATGATAATTGGCAGTGAAAGGGCGGAGCTTTGATGCCATTGAAAATCATCATGAGCCCTTAGAAACCTCTTTGTTTAATGCTGAAGCTTTAAAAAAAATCTAAACTGGCCAGAAGATAATACAAAGCTCAGACACATGCGATGATGAAGGAAACTGTCACTGTTGAGTCATCCCAACAATGTGCTCTGCACAGCTAAGTGCAAACTGGCTCCGAACAGGGCTGCAAGTACACATGTAAACACATCATAGCTCGGGGCACCCCAGCACCAGGGCTGAACTCCAGCCTCCTGCTCTGCCCTGTCTCCCACATTTTCATCATGATGATTTTTATTTAAACTTCCAGCTGCATCAAAATGATCATGAGTTTGGGCTCTGGCTGCAGACTGGGAGGTTGTTTTGGTCAGAGAGACACCTGGTGGCTCTTGAGATAAACCACACTGTCCTGCCAAACGACAGTACTCTTGCCCCAAGCTCGGCACCAAGGAGTGCTGAGGAAGCCCAGCTTCTGCTAAGACAAGCATCCAGCATCTGCTTTGCAGGGACGGGGCTGCCCCAGAGCAACACAATGAAGTGGGCTTTGCCGGCAGGGACAAGTGGGCTTCAACTCCCCTCAGCTTGGTTCCCCCATCTGTGGAAATGGGACACTAATGCACACAGCTCTAAAGGCCACTGTGAGGACTGAGCGAGTGATGGAACCCGTGGAGCACCCATGGTATTTGAGCGTTGTCTGTTGCCTGCCTTACTGAGACCCAGGTGCCTGTCAGTTCACAACAGGTCCATCGTGGGGCCCACTACAGCACCTCTGTGTTTGGATGGTTACAGTTTGGTCAGGGAGTTGGGTCCCCTGTGGGAACGCAGGCTTTGCTCCCTCAGCGTCTTAATGTGGTCCACCCACAAAGGACACCCCTCCTCGAAATCATGTTCATGGGGTTTCCTCTTAGGGGCCAGGGGTAGGGCTATTATGGCAGCCTCTTCTTCCCTTTACATATTTCTGTATGCTTAAAATGTTGTTATAAGCAGTTATTTTTATAGTAAGAAGAAGAAATAATCATTTTCTTTTCAGAGGAAAAAATGTTAAACTTCCATCAATTCTTGTTTTCATCTTCACCCTTGAATGATTTTACATCTGTTTATTCATCTTTTTGAATAGAATAAAGGAGACTCTGGGATTTGGCAGCATTATTTAACATTCTTATATTCTGTTCTTTAATTTCAACCATTGTCATTGTCTTCACACAAAGGAAAACAGCAGACAAGTAGACATCTCTGTCTGACAGAAACTTTGCCCAAGCTGAGTTTGAAAATGAGGAAAGTAGAGTAATTTCATTTTTACCAGCTCCACAATACTTTCCAATACCAGATCAGCTTTCTCACACATTAAGGTAATCTGAATGAGGAACTGAGAGACAGCATGAGTGGTTGCTTAAAGCATTTTTTTTTTTTTTGGTATAGGTATTCTTTACCTTTTTTAAAAGAAAAAAGATACGGTTAAGAGAAAGGCCTATGCAAAAAAATAACTCAAGGAGAATTTTATATGCATTAGGGAATTTATATTTTTAAAGCAAAAAGAATCCTGTAATTCAAATAATCTTTTTCTAATTAACTTCTTTGGTTGACTGGTTTTGCTATGCTGGATTTTCTTAAAATAAAAGTCACTTTTATTAATCTTGTTTCCTTAGTAAACCAGCAGAACAATTTGGGGATCTATTTTTTGACATGTCAATTTCCAGCTGTCATTTTAAAATACTAGAATTATAACATTCATTTATTCTTCTTTAAGGTTTTAAAGACTGAAAACTTACCAGGAAGGCACTGATGCTATAATTTATTCCGGTGCACATGGGATCGTATCAGGGGAATTTATTCAAGTTTTAGGAAGCATCTGTTTTCTACAGAAGTGGAACCCTTTGCTAAGGTGGTACCAGCCCTTCCTGTCCACAACGGGTTGTGAGTAGAACACAGAATTCCTGTGCCTGGGTACCCAGCATGCCCGGCTCCACAAGGCATGCTGCGGGCACTGGCCATAGTGCACTGGCCAATGGCACAAACCCTTGACTGCCTCTCTAGTCAAACTGAGCCACAAAATCCACCTCAATGATTCTACTTCTCAAGTGCTGGTGTCAGGATGTGAGAGGGGGAAAATCATGAAATCTGATATAGGATTATGTCACCAGTGTGCCTGTGGAACCTACAATTAAAGTTCTAAAGCGACAGTTTTGTGTCAGTGGCAACTTCATAATGCCTTTTCTAAGGAAGGTGACCACATGGCCCAGTTTGCCTGGATAGTCCTGGTTTAGGCCAGTTGTCCTGGCATAAGTATTAATAGCACCTCCTTTCATCTTAAGTGTCCTGGTTTAAATGATAAAAGACCCTGTCACCTCACCTTCAGGTGTGGCTCACTTAGGGCCTGCCCCATCCCTCCCTGCCACCTCGCGATGCCCACAGAGCCTCTCAGCAGAGCCCCGTGGTCCAGACTTTTCTACTACTCACCCCACTCGAACTCCTTCAGGGCCAACGAACTCAAAACATAGCCCACTGGAATAAAACGTGTGTTCGAGAAGGGCCTTTTGTAGACAACCACCCTCACCAGAAAAGTGCTTCTAATGGATAATCTGGGCTGTCTGGCCCAGTGGGACACACAGCCTGACGGGGGTGGCCCTGCAGAGTTCTCCCCACACTCCACCGGGGCAGGCGGGCATTCGGGAGGGGCTCGCACAGTGCTAGGGATGGCGGATCAGAGGGCTCTGGCCACCCTCGCACCCTCCGCTGGTTAAAACCCCATCCCTCTCTCCCTGAGGAGGTGTGGGGAGCAAAGGCGGCCCCTCACAGTTCTCAGTGAACATAGCACTGCACTGGACCCACCATGCTCCTCGGGGCCAGCCAAAAACAGATTTTTTGAAGAATAAAAAGGAATTTTATTCTAATATAGCATGGAAAGTGTTTGAAGTAGGAATTGTTCTTATCTGACCAAAAAAAAATTCTTACACTTTGAATATCTAAAAGGTTATTTTCTGTACAATTATATAAATATTTTCATATGTATATAAACATGATGTTTCTGATCCTAAAATAGTTTTCAAAAATCAATACAATTAGATTCTTTAGACAACAATTAGCACAGTTAGAAAATAAGACGTATTCCCTAAGCACGGCCAAGAACAAAGAGGACACAAGTGGGGACGCGTGGCAGGAAGGGGCTGGGGAGGAAAAGGGGGACTGAAAAAGCAACAAACACGACAAAACCCTGAACTTGGACTTTAGAGGACAGACCCCCCAAAACTAAATTACACGCAAAAATGGAAATGAACTATCCAGGGGAAGGTGAGTTGACTGTGATCAAATTTCATCCCACGTTGATACAATGATAATACATCACCTGGCAGATTTGTTCTTCCAGGAGCAGGGGCTTTTCCTTGTTATTCAAAATATCCAAAGTGGAGTAGAGATAATGAAAAGTCTTCAGAGCCAACAGACATGGATTCGGCCCCTTGTTCTGGCGTGTATACTGGCTGTGTGATCCTGGGCAGGACACTTAGACATTCTGAGTCTGCTTCCCGCCCTGTGAAAGGTGGACAATAACATCTACTTTGCTGGTTTGTTGGGAGGATTAGAGATAATATGAAAAATACTTACATTGCCTTAGAAAATAACTGACAATAAATAAAATTATTTTGTATCTGTGACAAAGGATTCGCCTTAGAATTTAGAATTTAGAATAGGCTTTGCTCTGCCTATTTTAAGATTCTGATTTTACTAGTCTATTCACACCCAGTCTGTGAATTGACACCAATTTCAGAGTCTAAAACTAGCCACATTCCTGCCCCTCCAATGCCAAGCAATCACAAAGAGCCACTGAAAGTCAGAAACAGACTATCCCTTTGAGAAGCTGTGGTCACCCCTTTCTTAAGGCACTGGTTCAGCGTGCAGAAGTAGAAGCTCGTGGAGAACTGTGATTTCCTCTAACTTGGGTATCACTTTCTCAGAGTTGCATAATGCCAGGGACACCACTGACGTGAATTCTGTCTTGACTCCATTCATATAACAGACCATGTAATCGAAGATCCAGGAGCCATGCAGGAGGCTCCTGCATGCACAAGCTTCCCCCAAGGGACACCTGCTTCTCCAGCACCACGGGCCTCCCAGGACCCCAACTACCTGGACCCCACAGGAAGCTGGCTTTCTCAAGTCTCAGGCTCTGAGACCCTCACTGCAGCTGGGCAGCAATGGTCTGTGGAGTGAGAAGCCACGGCTCCACAGAGAAGAGGCTCGTGAGCAAGGAAGAACTCTCCTCAACCTGAAGAGAAGCCGGCAAGCTCTCTGGCCGGGTGTGTGAGTGAGCGGACTGAGGAAGAAATGCACACACGCACTTGGAGGAGTGCCTGAGAGCAGCAGCAGGGACCGCGACTATGTCAGTCTTGCCCTGACGGATGACGGCATGCCATACCCCTAGTGTCAAGGACAGAAAAGGAAGAGACTGTACCAGCAGAAACTAGCGTGTGTGTTTGAGATAAACTGGTCTCGGAGACACAACGCACATGGGCGTCATAAAAAAAGAGGACAACACGGAGGTTCTTCATGAGTTCTATGGAAAGGCCCAGCTAAGTTTTTGGTCCTGAGGAGATTTTCCTCATTTTACAAGTAGTCATCCCAAATACTAGAGCAGAGGTCTGTGAGGAGGGCTGCTTGTCCTCCTTCTTCTAGAGTCCAGCACGGTTTCCGGCATACCAACAGCATGGGTGAGGCCTTGCCCTGCGTCTGTGGGGTCCGGGCGGGCTGGTCCTACCCAGGGACCACGTCTGGACGGGGCCACATGCTGCAGGGAGGAATGATCTAGAATGTCCAGGAGTAGAAGCCCCTACGGTTCTGCCCGCCCTGCTGCTGGTGCTGTTGCCTGGCTAGAAGACAGGCCCCTGGGTCTGCAGCGGCCTGGAGCTTTCAGATGCACTGCTCCTCATCCCTGTCATTCAGGAGCAGAGACCACTTGTCCCCACTATCATCAGCCATGGCGCTGTGCCGCGATAGCTTGTTGGACTTCAGGGAGGACAGAGACACCTGGCTGATGAAGCTGACCTGGTCCCAGGGTGTGGCCCTTGGGGAGTCCCGCCACCGGTCATCCATGCCGACATGCACGCTGACCTGGGACTCGGTCAGGGGCTTCATGTGGCCTTGGGCCCAGGACTCGTACTTCTCCAGGTCGGGCTTCTTATAGCTGCAAAGCAAGAATCCAAGAGCATTTGAACCACTCGTGACACAGGCTTTTTTCTTGAAGCCTGATGAAGGCTTCCTGTCCAATCTTTCAATAACATGCAGTATCAAACTCCTAGGGTTCAGGTAGAGTTCGCCCAATTTAGAAACTTCCTATCCAAACACCTGGCACATAGTAGACCATTATTAACTTTTGTTAAATGAAAGCATAAGTAAATAAACATCTATTCCAGAAAAGGAAAAATGTTAATACACAAGGATCCCATGTCTACATCAGTCACATGCCACATAATGATGTTTTGGTCAATATGACAGAGGTCCCGTAAGATTATAATGGAGTTGAAAAATTCCTATTGCCGTAGCCATTGTGACATCGTAGTGCAATGCATTCCTCAAGCGTCTGTGGGGATGCTGCATAAACAAAGCCACTGTGCTGCCAGGCGTGGGAAAGTACAGCACTATCCCGAACGGCACATGATCCTTGATAATGGTAATAAATGACTATGTTAATGGGTCATAATTTACTATACTATACTTTTTATGGTTATTTTAGAGCGTATTCTTTCTACTTATAAAAAAAGTTTGCAGTTAAACAGCACGCCGCGTGACGCCGGCAGCAGCCTCATCCGCCTTGTGTTTACGTCACTTGATTGCGTCATTTCTCTTGTGCCTGATTGAATCTCCTGTAACATGCTGTACAGGCCTGTAGTTGAGGATAGGTCACATCATGGAGCCTAGGTGTGCAGCAGGCTAAACCATCTAGGTTTGTGTAAGTGCACTCTCTGACGGTCGTACGGCGACAAAACCGCCTAACACCACGTTTCTCAGATGTCCCTGTCCCTGTAGTTAAGTGGTGCATGACTCTATTTACATAAGCAGCCCTTGAGCAGAATAACCAGAATGGCCCAGCATCTGATGACTGTTAAGTGATGAATTATTTGCTCATGGTGCTGATAAATCCTTATACGAACACACACTTGGACTCCATGCAGGACTGGCCCTTGCTTTAGGTGAATCAGGAACCGGAACACAGAGCACGCCCATTGCTAGCCCAGGAGGGCACTGGCTGGCCCAAATCTGCTTTGCGCATGCAGAGCCCAAGGGCCCAGAATACCATCTGCGGCGTACGCTCCTGCCACGTGGGGACTTACCACTTCAGCTGCAGCGATGAGAGAACCACAGACACAGAAGAGGCTGCCATGGCCGCCGAGCCCATCCACGGCTGCAGCACAATACCAAAGGGCATGAAGACTCCTGCCGAGGGGAGAACAACACTCACACTGCAGCCCAGAGGGAAGAGCAAGGAGAGCACCCACCATGCAGTCCTCCTCCTCAGGGTGGCTCAGAAGCCTCTGACGTGGGACCACATGCTCACAGGCCTCTGAGGCAGGCTGTTTCAGGGCTGGGCGGTGGGGGTGCTGTCAAGGCGACTGGGTTGTCCCATGCGCCCTCACCTTTCTGAGCCCGTCCACGAGCAGCATTACCTGTGTCAGGGGAAGCTCTGGGGGAGCAGGGAATCTCAGGAACCCAAGGGGCAGCAGCAGGACGGAGGGAGCCGGCTGTCCTGAGGCACCGTGGAGACTGAGCGAGCACTCAGACAACAAACGCTGCTGGTGGCCACAGGAATGTCTACATGACTTGTCTTCCCTAAGGGCTCAAAACATCTTTTTAAAGGGCAATGAGAGCCAGGCCCCAGAACAGAGCCAGAAAATTCAGCCCATGTCTGGGCAAAGGCCTGTGGCAGAGGTGCAAGCAAAGGAGGGAATCAGCTCCTGAGCCAGCTCTGTGAGCTGAAGGTACATGTGCCTGAGCTGCCTGGTGCAGGAGGCCGAGGTGGACACGCTAATCTATTATGTGAGTGAACATCGACCACTCAGGCACAACAGGAGACTGAGCTGGGAACATGTTTAAAACTTCAGGTCTCAGCCATGCAGGAAAGTGTTTAGAACCTTTCCCAACAGAACCTAGCACAATATTCAACGGGGAAGGGAGGAGTTATAAAGCAGAAAAGACCCATCTCTTTCCATGATCATTTCTGTGAGATGGGATAAGTCTTTGGCAGAATGAATTTTCAAGATAAGGTTCTAAACATCATGGTTGTGCCTAGTACCTAGCAGGTGCCTCTTAACCGCTAATCATATTGGTTTTTTTTTTTTTTTTCAGACCATATGTCTTAATAAATGGTTCAGAAAATAGGGCCATAGTAAATAAACAGTCAGGCATCTTGTCCAGCTTTTCGGAGAGGACCAGAGTGAATGAAGGTTTGGGTTGTTTCTGCAGTTTCTCATTTACCTTTAGAGACTTAGCAAACAGAAGACATGATAAAATCAGTTCTTTCTAAAATGCTTCTGGCCA